AAATTTTTACCAATTTATTACAGTTAATCTCTGTATTACCACAAACAGATTGCATTTAAATGCCAACTTGACCCCATTCACATACAAACTGAAAGCAGTCTTGCGTTCTATCATCCTCTTAACACGGCAAAGTTGGTTTGAAGACAGCAACTGATTGCGAGTGGTTTACACAGGGGCTTCCATTTCTAAATCCACCATTTCAAATGCAACAAGATGACACGTTCATTGCACACAGTTGCAGTCGTGTATTCTCTCGATTGACTTTTGTACATGTTAGAACTAATTTTAGGTTTTAATGGTCACGTTCAAAGCAGGTATAGATCAGGTATGGAGCCAGTTTGCAACCTTACATGCTCCTGTCCTCAAGTCTGAGTTTTTGCCATCAGATGTGACCTCCTCCACTTATTAAAGAACATTTTGTATTTGCTTTCATGTGATTCCATTACTCTGTTTATTACCCACATTGCCTGTTTTTAGTCTTTTCATTGATATATAATTAAGTATCTGGCTTTCATCTTTCTGTCAAAAGCAATTCATAAACCCTGTTTTTGCTCTTTATTAAAGTTTATTATTATAATATTATTATTATATATATAAATACATTACATAATTTCAAGGTATCCTTATTCGATTCACTGTTTTATCATAAAATATGTCCTTTGGTAACTTGGAGAAAAAAAAACATGAAATCTCTGTAACTACTTACCCCTTCAGAAACACTTGTAGGCATCACATGCAATCCATAAAATAGTTATAGTCTGGATTGCGCCATAGATTGCATACACACACAAATACAAACACACATGCATTCGCACACAAAAGACCAATCCTCCAACCACGTGCTGAACGGCTGCCAGTCATGTGACAGCTTCTTCCCCTCTCTCAACACAGGGTATTTTCTCTGTTCTCACAAAGTGGCCTTAACAACTATTCACCAACCCCTAACCCTGACCTAACCGTAAAACATGCCTTCAGCACGCTGGACTTTTTTGTGGCCCCCATAATGGGGACATGCGCCCAAAATGTGACATGCTAGACAGATTTTGGTCCCCATGGCGTGAGTAATACCTGGGCCACACACAAATATGCTCACTTCCCCTTTCACCCTGTGCATTTCCCTACAAATAACAGGAAGACGGTGTGAAGTTCAGCAAGTGGCATCTGTTGAGACCCACAGAGAGAATTCACAATAGGAAAGTGAAACTTTTTGTTTCAACTGTCTGGTCTAAGTCAACTCACGATCACTACTATTTGCTAGCTGGCGGCTGGGAAACCTCAGAGATCAAAAGCAATGCACTCAGACAACAGCAACCACAGTTTTCTCAGCTGATTCAGATCAGCTGTATATTCAAACTCAAATCATTCTCTAAATGTACCTTACATGCTGAGCAATGTCTGAGTTGCTCTCAAATGTAGTAAAAAAGAGGCAGTAGGCCTCACCTGTGCAGCAGAGTGAGTGTGTGGAGATGAAGGTCTTCTCCTCTTCAGTTCCACGCATTTCCTCAGTTTACAGATTTGGTGACCGGTCCTGCGGTTGAGGCAGCAGCTGCACTGGCCGCAGTTGATCTTCCTGAGGCACGGTTCGCATTCCCCACACCTGCGCCGCTTTTTCCCCTCCTTCCTCAGCAGTTTTGAAGCGGCCCAGGCGAGCGAGCAGGCCCCCTCTTGCGCCCAGGATCCGGGTTGAACAGATAAGCTGGGGTCTCCGTAGCCGGCCTCTGATTCAGTCTCGAAAGAAAAAGAGGATCGAGTGCTCTCTGAGCTGCAGGAGAAGGTGGAGCTGCTGTCCAGAGAGGGAGTCGAGATCTTTGGCACCAAATCCTGCTCTGGCACTGCTACCTGAACCTTGCTGAGGTTTAGTTCTAACTCGGTTGAAGGGGCAGCCAGCTGGGAAAGTAGTGCTGAGGACCCCAAAGGTACAGCCTTCTGGCTCTTGTGCTCCAGTGGCTCTTGAATGAATTCACTATCTTTGGTTTGTGACTCTGCTGGTGTGCAAGCTAGACTTTCTCCTTGATTAGGAAGCACCTCTTGGCTCTGTGGCTGGTGTGGTCCCCCGTGGCAGGAATCCCTCATATTGCTAGGTTTGAGGGAGTCTGTACGGATAATAACTGGCATATTTCTTTTCACTACAACCGCCTGCACCATCAGGGCTGCTTCAGTCACAACTGAGCACCCTGGAATTTGAGGTTTAGCACCATGAGTGGCAGGTTGAATATCTATCTTACTCAGAACTTTGCCAAGTGACTCTGAGGTGGAAGGGGCTTTGGTGGGATTTGAGGTAGCTGTGTTGGAGACCGGTAGCACACAAGCAGGTAATTCTGACTGTGCTGTCAGTCCCTTGTTAGAATGAGGTGGATCTGGGGTTTGACAGGCTGGAGTGCCAGTTTGGGGGTGCGCAGGAATGATGGAAACATCATTCTCCTTCTGTTTCCTTCCTCCATCTTTATTCTCACAATTACCCAACCTCCAAGTGATGTCCTCAATCTCTTCCACTGTCTCTTTTTGCCTCTGAACTGGCTTTGTTGCTTCTATTCTCTCTTTCCTCTCATGATTTATCTCCTCTCTTCTCTCATCATCAGGTGTGACTCTTTCACCTGTTGTTTTATCTTGCAATATCAGGATGTTGTTTTGCTCTTGCTGTGCAGTACACACATTATCTTCCTTACCATCGCTGGCAGGATGATCAAACTTTTTTCCAAGGATAGCTGAAGTGTCATTTCCCTCACAGTTGCCCTGCACCTCCAGTGAGCCTGTAGTGGTTGACTCTGAGGACTCATGAGGTGCTTCTTTACTCCTTTCACTGCAGAGTTTTATTTGTCCATCAGCATCATCAACCTCTGGGGCTCCAGAGACACTCTTCAGATCACCTTTACTGTTATGGCTGTCAGTAATTTTCTCTTGCTGGGTTATAGGACCATCACAGCTGTTCTGCACACAGTCTTCCAGTGTGTTATTACACAGTGGTGAATCAGCTTTAAAAACGCTGTCCTCTTTAGCACCTTTGACTCCGAGACCCTGGTCTTTGACATTTTCAGGAGTCTCAACCTCCGTTTTTGGACCAACTTCCTCGTCATCACAATTTTCCAGTTTCTCTGCTTCTTCATCAGGAGTTAAATCGTTGATTCTGGTACTCGGTCGCTGGTTTCTTTTGTTTCCGTGCTGGGGTGCTGATCTTCTCCTAGTGCTCCCCCTGCTGTACTTCCCTCTACTGCAAGGTTTAGGAGGCTGGCAGGAAGTAACAGACACTTGTGTACCCCGCTGGGACTTCCTTCGCCCCAGGGGGTCTTGTAACTTGCCACAGTGGTCAGGCGGATTGCTCGCCCGTCTAAGCCTTGCAGATCCTGTTACATTTAGGGAATGGTTCACTCTGCTGGGGGACCTCCTGGGACCTTGAGCAGCAGGTCTACTAAACTCTCTTCCATGGGGACTTTGGCTTGACTGTGCTTGGGCCCTGGTTTTTGAACTTCTGGGTTCTCTGGATGTTTTCTGGGTCCTCTGTGCAGCTCTTCCTCTGGTTTTATTTGAACTGCAAGTTTGCCTCTTGGTGCGGATCGCTTTCTGGGTGTTCTTCCTCTGAGTAGATGTCTGTATCCTGGTGGGTCTGGTAGTAGCAGGCATGGCTGAGGGTATGAAAGGGAGGATTTCTGGCAGCCAGCATGGGAGCCAGGTGAATGTTTATCTTTTGCTTAGCACACAATTTTTCTTTCTTAAAAAAAAATCCTCCTCTTCTGTATTTTGAATGCAAACTACGATGCTACCCTGATTTTGCTATTGCAGTGCATGACCTAAAAAAGGGAAAACAAATGTCACAATTGTGCGTTTTCAGTGTAATAATGACAAACTGTTCATGCACTCAAACACCACATGACTATAACAGTGTAATAACTACAGGAAACGACAGCTTTTCCAAGCATTGTGTACAAAGACGAGTCAGATAGGTTGACGTTAATATAATAAAATATTTTGAGTATCATAAAAACAAACCAGCTATATATAAAAACTATAGCTTCCACGGTGCCTTAACAGTTTAAAGGGCAGACACGTTGAAGAGCACAGGGCTCTGGCCGGAGGTCGGATCCTGTTTTCGTCTTTCTGACTGACGGAAGAGGGGGTTATTACCGTGGAAGAAAAAAAAGCGCCTTCAGCGTCGCTTTCAATTACTGTTTTGCACTTGACCGCTGTCAGTAAAATCACAGAGGTGATAAGAAAACCTGTTCTGTCCCCGGTGTTGTTGTATTTACACGTTTACAGCTGAAATGCTCTACATACCACAGAAAGAGAGCGAGAGCGAGAGAGACAGTTGCACTGTCTGAACTGCTAATAATACCCCGCTCCAGCGAGACAGCGAGACCTTGTATTGGTTTCCCTCCTCGGCAAATATAGAGCGCTGGTAAGTTCAATCCTCTTCACACGATGACACATGGACATGATACGGGAAGGAGCACCGACGGCGTGAATACGCAGCGACGGGGAATGGCTGGTTTTCGGCGTGCTTCGTGTAGCCTTTGGGAGCACGACACCCGTTAAAATGTAAATCCCTCTTATGTCTATCCATTCAGGGCAGCCCCGCTCACACTCCCTCCACCAGACGCAAGCAGGCTACAGTCACTCCGCTGGCTAAAAAACTCTCGTCTGCTTGAAGGGAGCGGGGGGAAAACCTGGAGTGGAGCACACTCCGTTTCGCTTCAACCAGCCGCCTGTATTTCAGTATTACAGTCACGGTGTTAGCATGCGGCGTGGTCGCTAATGGGTACTTAGCTAAATATTAATTAGTTAATTAATTAAGCGAGTTTTCTTCTTTTTCCTTCGTTAATAATTAAAGAAAGACGCTGGGTAATATTTTAGAATATTTCTAATAATTTTAAGGCAAATTTCGTCTCACCGGTGACGTTTTACTTTGCGATATAAATTTCACGTCGATATCAAAGAAATTCATAAAGCTATATTAAAAAAACACAACCATCCTCTTACGTCATAGTTGCGACGTCGTTCGCCGTCATTATCGCGCGACGTTTTTCTGCTGAAGCCGTCAGTCTGTGGGCGAAGGGCATGAGCGTGCTCACCCTTGTCAAAGCCTCATATCGATCTGCATTTGCGGCATTTAAACGTGACTTTCAGCCTTTCGGCTGACTGACGAAGTGTGGGCTCCGTAAAAACCAGGAGTATCTAGAGGAATGAGAGAAACGAGAGAAGGAGGCGACTCAGCGAAGGAACAAAATATTTGTTGACTTTAATTCCTTGTTCGGACTTATTAATAGTTCTGATTATACTGTGAGTATGGTTTTTAAGACGGCCATGGGTGCTGTCGTCTCTTAGCTCCCTGCTACTTGTGACTACTAACCTTCACAGTGGTGCAATTTCTCAGTGACTAACCTTACACAACCTCCATTTGGCCATTCAAAAAGGACAGCTGGCTTTGCTTATGGGCCCAATTTTGTATATTTTAAGCAATACCTTAAAACGACACCCACATGCTCACAATCTCATTTTCCTTTGCAGTGTTTTTACCGAACCCGTAAAGTCATGGATTTGGCAGATCACTGAGCAGGGACGATGACATCGGAGGCTGCGGTCTCCACACGCCCCACCATGAGCAGCACCCCTTCCAAGGGGGACTACCACTGGGTCCGCTCCTTTGTGGCTGGAGGTAGAGTCTGACACATCGGCTTACAAGCAGTGATGTCTCCAGTCACACAGTTTCTTTGCCTTAATTTATTTTTTATGAATGAAGCCAGATTCATTCATCGTTATTACTGATAATAGTGGTGGTGGTTATCACTGTTATCTCACAGCAAGGTCTTGGGTTTGAATCCCATTTGCATGAAGCTTGCATGGGTCTCCACTTCCTCCCACAGTCCAAAACATGCATGGTTTTAGGTTAAGTGGCAATTCTAATAAGATGACGATCAATGTGAGTGCCTCTGCCTGTTTCTTTTTGCTAGCACCAAAGTACAAAGTGTTGCATGTGACCAACAAAATACAATGAACTTTGTAGACCAATAAACTAATAAAGCTACATAAATAGTAGGGGGGGGAAAGTTAAACATTCTCATCTGACCTGCTCTTCAGCTAAAATGAGGGTGTGTCTCTGGCAGGTGTATTAGTCAACAAGAAAATACTCTATATTTCTCCTTTAACTAAAAGTTAGATTTTCACTTCACAGTTCAAAATTTACACCTGATATATGAATAATAAGAAAAACATTAACATCACATAGTATAACAGCTTTGTAAAAGTACCAATTAAAGTGCACTCCAGCACTGTTTGATTAAAGAACACGAGCACTTTCCTGCTAAATTAATCATTATTTGCATATTTCATCTCTGTAGCTTTAGTGCAACTCACAAGTAACACCGATGTTGGCTCAGATTGGCCGATCTTGTTTGGACAGGTTACCTGTGTGTCTGACTTGCCACAAAATGTTAAATGTTTGACATTGTTGTGCAAGAAAAGGGCAATTACTTTTGCTTGTTAGTTGTAGATAAATAAAAAGAAAATACCAATCATTCATCTGTTTCTGAATGGCATTTGCTTTGTTTTTAGGTGTAGCAGGATGCTGTGCCAAGACTACCATCGCTCCTCTGGACAGGGTCAAGATTCTTCTTCAAGCCCAGAACCCCCATTATAAACATCTGGGTAAAATAACAATAGTAATAATATTGAGCTAACAAGTATTTGCTTCCACACGTCTGTATAGGAGTGAAACTTTAGGACTTTCTTCGCAGGAGTAATTTCCACTCTCAGAGCTGTGCCAAAAAAAGAAGGCATCCTTGGCTTGTACAAGGGTAATGGGGCTATGATGGTCAGGATATTTCCTTACGGAGCCATCCAGTTCATGGCCTTTGACAAATATAAAAAGGTACAGTATGCATTTTATTGTGGAGTGCTGCTGTCAAAGGTCAAAGCTATAAAAATGATTAAACCTCATGCTGTGTGCTTTAATGTCCGTGTATTTTGTGCTGTATTGGCATCACAGCATTCGTTTCATCTTTGCATTGTTTTATTGATTTTCTACCCAAGCTGATGTTGCCAATATTCCCTTTACAGCTGCTAAGAAAACAGATAGGCATCTCTGGACACATCCACCGCCTCATGGCAGGATCTATGGCAGGTACTGATAATACCTGGTCTGTGACAGTTGGGTGTCTTGCACTCCTCTGACGTAGATAATGTGCCTTCCTCTAAGCTAACCATCATTGCTATTTGTTCCTCTTTAATTACTAACTATGTTTAAATGTTTCACATACAAGAGTCCGCTGTGAGTCAGTGTGTTCTTTGTGTGTTTTCAGGGATGACTGCAGTGATATGCACTTACCCTCTGGATGTAATCCGAGCCAGGCTGGCCTTCCAGGTGAAGGGAGATCATCGCTACACTGGAATTGCTAATGCTTTCCACACCATCTACCTTAAGGTGATCTGCTAGTGATCAAATAAGCATCTAATAAACTAAATGCTCTTCACACAAGATTGTAGCCTTTAATTTAAGATCAGCTCAATTTGCCTGCAATACCCGTTTTTACATTTGCTTCTTTTTTTGTGAAGGAGGGAGGCGTCTTGGGCTTCTACAGGGGACTTACTCCAACACTTATAGGAATGGCGCCTTATGCAGGTGATTTTTGGAAATATTTTTGATGCTAGTATGTGAAGGACAACATAAAATGCATTTTTCCCTCCCACATATATAACCAGTGTGGGTTCTGTTGCATTGTATGCTCCTAGGTCTGTCTTTCTTCACCTTCGGGACCCTGAAAAGCCTGGGTTTGAAACATTTCCCAGAGCTGCTTGGACGGCCTTCCTCAGACAACCCCGATGTGCTCATTTTGAAAACCCATGTCAATCTTCTCTGTGGAGGGGTTGCGGGGGCTATTGCTCAGACGGCATCGTAAGTGACTGGTTAATTTGCGATGCCCAGCAGGGCTTTGCTGTTGATTAGACTGATTGACTGATGGTTCATGTGTCACGCTGTATGCTGTCTCACTAGGTACCCTTTGGATGTGGCTAGAAGAAGAATGCAGTTAGGCGCTGTGCTTCCTGACTCAGAGAAATGTGTGTAAGTATCACTGTTGTTCGCTACATTCACCTCATTTATATGTTACAAATAGTTAAATATTTATTTTCCTAGTATAAAGACAAGATGTTTTAATTTTAAAATGGAAAGAAAACAAACAAAGAAAAAAAAGGTTTGTTTTTTTTAATGTGGTCTGACATGATTTTACATTCACTGGTCACTTTATTGCTTGCCCTGGGTTTGAGGCCTTCAGAGCTGCCCTAATTATTCATGGCATAGATTCACCAAGTTGCTGGAAACACTCTGCAAAGAATGCCATGTTTAATGATGGCATCACACAGCTACTGCAGATTCATCACCTGCACACTGATGATGCAAATCTCATCTTCCACTGCATCCCAGTTGGATTGAGATCAAGTGCCTATAGAAGCCGTTTCATTCATGTCATGTTCAAGAAAGCAGTTTGAGCAGATCTGAGCTTTAGAAAACTATCATTCACTGGATAATTTTCCCTTTTTTGGGAGCATTCACTGTAAAGTCACTGTAAGTCCCAGTAGATCAGAAAGATTCAGACCAACCCGTCTGGCACCAACAACGATGCCACTTTCAAAATCACTTAAAACATGTTTTTTCTGATGCTCAGATTGAACTTTGGCAGGTTGTCTCGGCCATGTCTGCATACCTAAATGTATTAATTTGCTGCCATCTGATTGGCTTACTAGAAATTTGCGTTAAACAGTTAAACAGCTGAGCTTGACAAAGTGGCCAGTGAGTGTATGCAACACATTCAGAGAGAAATGAAGGGGTAATTGGTTCTTAGGTGTAATGTCGTACTGAGGGGAATAATAGAAAAACACCTCACACAACACAGCGCTGATGAAGTTAACCTTTTTTTTTTTCACAAGTCGCTCATCAAGCTGAATAAATATTTGATTCTCGTGTCTTTGCTTTTAAAAGCACATCTGATTATAATAGTCTCAGTTTTTATGCATTCTGTAACAAGAGCTCCATAATAAATAACATTTGTCTCCCATTTATGTCTTTCACTTCCTTGGTAGTGTTTGTACATTGACTGCTTAAAAAGGTTGATTTCACATTTGGTTTTGTGTGGTTAACTTAATGATTAAAAAGGAGAAAATTCCTGAGGTTTTGTGCTTGTTTAGTCTAGATATGGTACTATTGATTAAAAAGGGAAAAAAAGGGCCGACATTTTTAGTACTGTAGTAGTAACTGAGTTATAAAGCTACAGCTACATACCATTCATAGCTGTAAAGTTCACAGATGCCAGTATAAACACTTCTCACCCTTCTTGTGTTCTGTTTACAATGTTATGTAAAAAATCTTTTGGATGTTTTCACAAGTACAGTTCATCGGTCACTACCAAAGACAAGTTTTGGTGTGATTACAGCTGATTTATGCAACCTCAAAGGTCACGAATAAAAATCGCAAATTTTTCATTTAAAAAAACAAACATTATTTAAGGTAGTTTGGAGATTAAATCATTTAAATCTGTTCCCCATAAAGACAACCTCAGTATATATCAATAAAAACGTGGTTTGATGACTGTTAGAATAGTTCAAGGATACCCTGAGCACCTGAAATATGAAGGAAACCGCTCAGTTTGTTTTCAAGGGATAAAGAGTTAAAAAAATACTGTTTTTCTTTTCTCTTCTAAAAGGTGTATTTATTTATGTATTCTGTCTTTACCTAAACAGGTCACTGATCAAGACACTAAAGTACGTGTATAATACGTTTGGGGTGAAGAAAGGATTGTACCGAGGCCTTTCTCTCAACTACATCCGCTGTGTCCCCTCCCAGGCCGTGGCCTTTACCACCTATGAGTTCATGAAGCAGGTCCTCCACCTGAACTAGTGGCTGTTTTTTGTACCTCCCAGGCTGCACCCAGGCCTTTGTGCTCCTAGACTTAATGCCAGCCGACTTCAACGCTTCCTTCATCTGAAGGTTGCTCACTATGTCTTAAACTCCTGAGTGCAGGAACTGCCTTTTCCTCACTGAAAAAGGGATTTGAATATGAAATGAAAAAGCAACTCCATGTCTGTCCTGTTTCATTCCTTCTTACTTTTTGCTTTCGTAATTCAACAACTCATAATTTTAATTTCTTCCTTCATGCTCATAAATGGGTGTAACCTGCTCCACAGTAACCCTAACATTATTTCTTTTTAAAGCTGCATCATTCACAGCATGCAGTGATCTGAGAAATGCATTTTTATAGTGGTGTTTTCTATGTTCTGACCTGGTGAAGAGATTTTAAGATGCATAAAATGATCCAACTAAGCTCTGTAAAGATATATATATAT